TATATATATATATATATATATATATATATATATATATATATATATATATAAACTGTAACTGGAGCGTGTAACAAAAGTAATTTCCCTCTGGGATTATTAAAGTATTTCTGATTCTGATCATCAACCACAAAAATCAATTTAGGGGCCATAAAAGGGCTGCAGGGCCTCATTTTACAAAATAATCTAATAAAAAAAAAATTTAATTGCATTGTGATATATGACAAAATATTTAAAGAATAGGTGTGAATACATAAGACTCTGCATCACAGGGATTCTTTAACAAACCCTAATGTTGCTTTAGTTTAAGCCGGGCATACACTTTTTTCAGTCGTTGCACGCAGCTACAGCTCACACTGTACGATGAAACCGCAGGGTTTAGAAGTTCACAGCTCACGATGCATGTTCTCACACTGTGCAACCCGACGCTCTGATGCGATCTACAAGCTCACACAGTACGTCTAAAAAACCATGTCGGACTGAGCTCCGCATTGAGATGGCGCTACATGGACTCGTCTATCTGGAACCAGATGAGTAGAGGAGGAATATGGAGCTCAGTAGAGTGAAGCATGCTGCCTTGGCAATTTGTGCAATTTTGTGCTGAAAGCCCTACAAAAAAAAAAAAAAAGCAACAACGTATTTGGACAAAGACATGGCTGAACAAACGTAGCTACTACGGTCTGCCAATTTTACAGAAATAACTCAATTTCACTCGCACCCCCGCCATGCTTTTGTGTTTTCATCTGAGAGGAAGAAGAAGAATCCTTGTTTGCACACTGAGCGATTTGACCATGACAGCCAACTGAATTTCAAACATTTGATTTCCAGACCTTATGACTTCTGATTGGGAGGCGTGTCGTGAGAAGCTGATTGCCCCCCGTTACCCCCTGTACACTACACAATGCACAATCAGGCTGAAAGTCGGCCCGATCAAAACATTCTCGCGGGACTGGAAAATTGGCCCAAACAAGGCACAAAAAATAAATAATAATAATAATTCAGTGTATGCCCGGCTTCAGGTGGAAGCGGTCATATGCCTCACCTTCAGGTCTCTGTGGATGAGCTTCCTGGAGTGAATGTGCTCGACTCCACTGATCATTTGCAAAGCAAAGTTCAGACTTTCTTCTCGTCTCTTGAAGTCTCTGAGGGATTTTTTGTGGTTCTGGATATTTTTCTCATCTATCCAAACTCTCAGTGTTTTAATCTCGCATAACTCCATCTGAATGTAGAGGAACTTTGAAGGCTGGTCAGTGGAAGATCTGTAGAGTAAACAACAGAAAAATGATATAACCCTTGTGTTTTATTTGTGACAGGCAGGAGAAGAGGACTCACTGTGAAGCACTGCTGCTGCCAGTAGACGTGTCCCACTGATAGGTCCCGTCTTCTAGCCAACAGGAGTGGTATCGAACAATGTTGCAGTGATTCAGGTCTGACAGCACCTTTACCTCCTGCAGAGTTTTTCTAATCCAAACAGAACAAAAAGCAGCCTATGATCACAAAGCATCACACTTTGCATTCAACTTTTTAACCAAATAATGATTCCTTTAAAAGCCTTACTGTTGGTACAAAACAGAATCCTTTACTCACTCTCGGTAGTGTACAATCTTAACAGCATAATATTTATCCTCCAGCTTATGTTTTGCTTTAAAAACACGACCAAAGGATCCTTTATCGAGTCGTTCGATGGAGTCATAGTCTGCAGTAAACCTGCTGAGAGTAATTAGGATTATTAAACTCTATCAAAACATGATTTATTGTTTCTTAGGGCCCTGCCACACCATGCCGATTTAACCAGTGTATAACATCACAGAATCTCCTAAAACGCTGGCATACGCTGAACTTTCTATGTATTTTTTCAATTTTCGGCATAGGCATAGAGTATTTATGATGAGTCAAGAACTTATGTCCAACCATACCATACTAATGCATAACACACGGTAGCATAATACCCATTAAATGTCACAAGCCATTGTCCTGAGGGCGTAGCGATGTGTCCGGTTTGCATAAAAAGATGTCTTTGATAACGGTATTAATCTAGCTGCTGTTAACTGCCTGCCCGCCCAAAAAAAAAGAATAAAGAAAAAGAAAAAAGAAAGAAGGTTTGCAGTTGCAGCCGATTCAGCATCATGTCTGCTAAGAAGATTGTTGGTCGTGGGTGTGGGCGTGAATGCAGGGAGGATCCATCACATTCCCGTTCTCGCTCACCCTATAATGGGGATGAAGTCTCGAGATCTGATGGTTTCCCCCTGTGAACCCTCTTTTATACCAAAACACTGCAAATACGTCCTTATAAAGTAGCTATAAGTTAGAAACACGTTCAGTGGTCGTCTGGAACATGTAGATATGCGTTGGAGATAGAGACTGACATTTTTTCCCGTGGGATTCCCGTTGGGATGGGAGTTAGTATTAGTAACAATCACGTGATTGGGACGGTACAGGATTAAACATTAACGGGAGCGGACGCAAACCAATAGTAACTTAAAACAAAACTAGGATCGATGCCAAAAAATAAAATAAAATAGAAAGAAAAAAAATCCAGTACTGGCGCGGCCATTTTGTAGATTTTTTCCTTGAAGCCTGCACTATAATGCGGGTCAAAAAAACTACACGACCCAAAAACCAACAGTGCTTCCGCTCTGAGTTTTTCACCCGTGCAGGAGCGGGAGTCATTCTGAATGGGAGCGGGATGGGAGTGGGTGTAATTTCACCAGGAGTGGGACGGGACAGGATTTAGATTTCTACTCTGGCCCGGGATCGGGACGGGACACCATTTTTTTCTGTGGGAGTGGGACAGGACAGGAGTGAAAATCCACTCCCGTGTCAGTGTCTAGTTGGAGATAAGTTCTTGATAAGCTACGCATAAGTTATGCACAAGTTACTCATAGGTTTTGAATAATCTGGACACCATGACTTATGAGTAACTTACACTTAACATATGTCAACAATCAGATAACTTACCTGTAACTTATGCCCCACGTATGGCGTATGTCGACGTGTGCCAGCGTGCATCAGCATGCTCATAACTTATACAAAACGAACCCCCAACTTATGCAACTATTGCCAGCATTTTTGCCAGACTGTTCGTACATCAGGTCATACGCTGGCTAAATTGTCACGGTGTGACGGGGGCTTTAGAGGTTTTAGGAAAAGCAAATAAACACAATAGGTTTAAATAAAATTGGGGTAAACATAAATAAAACACAGAAATGACCCAATTAATTCATATTTAGGAGTTATGACATGTTGGATATGGGTCTTTCTCAAGCATTGACCATATTAATTCCCATTATCACATGATATACATATCACACAAAGGTTGACAAAGTTGTAGTCTGAGAAAGTTTTACATTTTCTGAAATGTTCTTTTTCCAGCCTGAATAAATGTTAGAACTGTAAATGAGCTGAATTAATACAGAATGAATATCTGCAGCAGCAATGGCATTCATAGATGGAACAGGATGACAATCACAACCAAGAATGGATATAAACTCCTGTTGCCCTACCTTGAAACCGGCTGGGTTGGTGATTTTACACTCGGAGGATTTCCTCTACCCTCTTTTTTGAAATTTAGCACATCCTAGATAAAAGTCGAAATACTTATGTCAGCATTTTGAACAAGAACCATTGAAAATAGCTGTCATGGTTACTATCTTCTTCCTTTACCTCTTTGCTTTTCTCAGAGATATTCAGAAATTTTGCTGCGATTCTGGCAATGAAAAGTACATTTAAAATGGCATGGTAAAAAAAAAAAAAAGTACAGCTTTACAATAGAAACAATGGCTTACCTTATTTGAGGCTTCACTTTTGGACTTTTCACCTTTGGAAAAAGTAGAGAAATGAACCTTTCACAAAATGCAACATTTCAAAATCCCCCATGCAGAAAAAGAACAAAGTCCATCTTCATTTTTTTAAGAGCTTAGAACACAAAAACAGTGCTAGGGTACAAATTATAGAGACCAGAGTTGGCCAGTTTTAACTGCTACAACACTTTGTGCAAAGGAAAGAAAACAAATATGTAAAGTAAATAACAGACCTGATCTTTGGGAGGGTTTGATTCACTTCTACTTGGTGTCTCATGAGGTGCTTTTGCAAGACCAGAGTCTCTAAGGTAAAAATTGAGACACACGATCAGTGCTGCATTCAACTA